AAGAAGAGCAAGGTGTATATGTTCATACAGTGGGAGATTATTCTTTCTCCGCTGTCTACATCTGGATGGGCATGGTTCTGGGTACAGTATATGTTCATACAGTGGGAGATTGTTCTTTCTCTGCCTCCTACATCTGGGTGGGCATGGTTCTGGGTACAATATATGTTCATACAGTGGGAGATTGTTCTTTCTCTGCAGCCTACATCTGGGTGGGCATGGTTCTGGGTGCAGCTATGCTGCCCTCTGGTGTCTGACTGGTGAATGGCAGCAGATCCGCTTGTTAAGAGTGAGCAGGGCCGGAACCAGACTAGCCAAGTTGTAGCCAGGCTTATCCTATCCGGAAAATATTGAGCAGCTTTGGACACTCCTGATTTGAGTTCTTCTCCCTTCTCCTCACTCTGTACTACTCTCTGAACCTGAGAGTAATGAGTGTAACTCCACTGATGCATGTCTCAGGTGAAGCCAACTGACCCTGCTCTTGACTCTGCCCATGTGTCCCATCCTGGTCCCTCACCTCATCCCCAGGATTCAGCAATAAAGTACTCAGTGTCTTCCAGGGAAGGAGGGACTGGGGGCTGATGCTCATAAACCTTTGTCCACATTCCCTTTATGCAGTCAAGTCACCTTTTGGGCGATGATGATCTGGTCCTCTAGAGGAAGCAGCACGGGGGGTGGGGTGGGGGGAGGGAAAGCAACTTAACGAGGTCATATATGGGTGTCAGGGTTTGCCATCGAGTTTGGGGGACAGAGAGTGTCTCCCACTCATTGACTGGACTACAGGGCTGGTATCAACACTTCCTAGGGGCTGGAGAGACTGCTCAGTGCTTGAGAATGCTTACTGTTCTCCCAGAGGACCAGCACCCACATCAGGCAGCTTACAGGAGATCTGCTGCCCTGGATCTTCTAGCCTCTAGGGATGTCTGCACACATATAGCAAACATGCACAGACACACACACGCACATATACACATATACATATATATACACACATATACATATGTGTGTGTGTGTGTGTGTGTGTGTGTGTGTGTGTATAAATTAAAAAAAAGACTTTCTGGTAGTCTGTTGACCGTGGGAGCTGGACCAGGTGCCCCCACATCTTAATGAGGCTGGGTGACACTGGGACAGTCATCTCCAAAGTCCTTGGGGTGTTAAGGCTTTGACCCAGAAGCCCCATGCTAAATGAGTTACTGAGCCATCGTATGACCTTGGCCCTGCTCTTCCCTCTCTGAAGGTTATTTACTATCTATCACCAAGCTTCCAGTTACAGGCCGGCAGTGTGACACAGTGCATGCTAAGTGTTCTGATTCATCTGACATAGTAGAATTGACCAGGCAGAGCTCTCTGAGAGTCTGATAAGGCAATGGGTACATTGGTCCTGGTGATCTGAAGTAGCTTCGGGTCACACATGCTCCCCGCACAGCTAAGGCTGGGATGAGTCCCATTCAGGGTGATGGTTTGAGGAAGGTCTTCTGTCCCCAGAGTAATGTCCTCCTCTTTCATCCCAGACACCATGGAGACGGTGCTGATCCTTTGCAGCCTGCTGGCCCCCGCTGTCCTGGCTAGTGGTAAGAGTCCTTTAGGACCTAGCTCTGCCCAGCTGGCAGCCATAGCCCTTCCTGGCAGAAGATTCTGGTCCTTTTGAATATTAGGGTTGAGAGGCAGCTTCACACCTGACCCGGGACCTTTCCTTCAGCCAGCAGAGAAAAACAGACCCTAACTGAGGTGTCACCCACTGCTCCCCACATGGGTCCAGATGCCCTTCTATTAATCTCTCCAGATACCTTGGGCTCCTATGGACTTGCAGCCTAGACTCTAATTGGCCCACCCTGACCATATCTGCAAGTCATGAGTACCCCCTTGGTCTCAGTTTCCCCACCTGTCACTAGATGACAGATAGATCTGGCCTTTCAGTGAATGCTGTGACCTCAGGACCGCACTGAGGCTGAGTCGTACCTGCTCTATGCCCTGGGTGTGGACTCTAACCTGTGGAAGCCCGTCTTCTATGATCTCCTGTATCTGCCCACAGTCCTGCTTCACGAGGATCCTTTAGTGGGGACGGAGAACGGTGGGAAGGTGAGACGTCACAGGAAGCACCCATGCCTTCTTCTTAACCATGTCTCTCTATTTTCCCAGCAGCTGAGAAGGAGAAAGAAAAGGATCCATTCTATTATGGTGAGTGAGCTCCGCCGCCCTGGGGTGTGGCCCCATCCGAGAGGGACAGGCATGTTCTGCTGGCCCTGCCCTTCCTCTACCTCACATGCCTGGTTCCTTTGCAGACTACCAGACCCTGAGGATTGGGGGATTGGTGTTTGCTGTGGTCCTCTTCTCTGTTGGGATACTCCTCATCCTAAGTAAGTTCATCCTCTTCTCTCTGTGGCTGTTAGACAGATGGGGGCAGTATACAAGCTTAGCCACTGTGTCTATGGGAAAGGGGAAGGTCTGCCTCTCCATGCTATCTCCAGGACCAATACAGGACGGGGCACGTAGTAAGTGCTCAGTAAAACAAGGAAGATGAGCCTAGAAAATGTAGGTTAGAACAGACATGGCTAAAAAGAGCAGGCTGCTCTCTTCATCCCTAGGGCCATCCCAGGAGAGAGATGCCATTCTCCTAATGGTCTAGGAATGTGTCCCTATGTGTTTCCTCCACGAGCTGTGGCATGCAGCGCACCTGACTATTTCTGCTCATCGTATGAAAGGGCGAAGTTCATCATAGTGAGCAGGCATGGTGGAGCAGCTTGGTCCGTGGTAGCAGCCATTTGTGGCCTGGGCTCACTAAGACTGACCAGGAAGCAGAAAGCTCGGGATATATCCAGGGGCAGCTATCACCTCTAAGACCTGACCCCAACAACCAACTTTGGTTAGCTAGGCCCCGCCCCAAAGGTTTCTCCCTCCCACAAATAGCACCCCCACTGAGGATCAGGTATTTAGACACGACTGCCTGTGGGGTACCTTTGCCATTTAAACCATAGCACCTGGCCTCAGTTGACCTGTCCTTGTCCTCGCTGGTCAGGTTGTTCCATGCAGTGGTGCAGGCATTCACTGCCTGTGTCTGGCAGTGCCTTTGGCCGGAACGGGTTCACAGTAGATCTTCTACAGCCCGGGTGGCTGGGAGCGTGACCTTGGACGGTTTCTTTGTGTTTCAGGTCGCAGGTGCAAGTGCAGTTTCAACCAGAAGCCCAGGTAAGAATTCCAGGGCTGTGGCCAACGGGGGGCAACCGGGGAAGGGCCAGGGAGAGGCTCTAGTGTGAACCCAGTGGGTTGTCTCAGAGAGACAGAGAGAGAGAGTGTGGGAGGCCGAGGTATGAACCTGGGGATTTCCAAGTGACTTTGGGACAAAGGAGCGGTCACAACATGGAGGGTAGGCCTCAGATGTAAATAGGGGAAGGAATGCTGAGTAAGAATGTGCTAGCACCTGGTCTGGAGGCCTTTGAGACAGCCAGCCTTGCTAAGAGGGAAGCAGGGGACCTCATGGCTGCTCTGAGGTGCAGGGCTGATACACTGCCCCTGCTTCTCATCTCTTCCTGAGGCTCTGCGCACTTCGTGGACACCTGACCTCCTTTCTACACCACATAAGGTTACACCCCATTCATTAAAACAGCCACGGTGGCCAGAGTCTGTGGCAGCCCTACCTGGGGGCAGACACTGAAGGGTACCCATAAGCTCTCTTTGCCTCTATGCCTATCAGTCCTGACTTCTCCATTCACCTCACATGTCCCATGGTAGAGTGTTTGAATCCTTCAGGGGGCTTGGGGGGATGGGTTCCAGAGGCCCTTCTTCAGTGAAGAGAATGGGGATACTCTGTAGTTTGTCCTGGACACAGAGTCTCTCTCCTCTTGTCCTAGGGCTCCCGGGGATGAAGAGGCCCAGGTGGAGAACCTCATCACTACAAACGGTAAATGCCACTGCAGGGTGCCAGGCGAGGGACTGGACTGGGTGCCGTGAGCTGCTTTGGGGTTCAGCAGACATGCCTCTGAGGTGCCAGGAGAAGGCTCTCCAGGACCTCTGTGACGTTAGCACTGCATCCATCCCTTGTTTTACCTTCATCACGGTGGCTCTGTTTTAAACCGCAGCAGCAGCTGCTAAGGCCGTAGCCTGGGTGGGGGGAGGGATTCTGCTCCCCCAGACAATGGCTCTGTGGCTGCCGCTAAACGTAGTTCTAACTAAATCTCTCTAGTTCTAATAAAACTGGAGGCTCAAAGGCTGGGGTGACAACCTGCCAGCTCAGAGAGTTAGAGTGGCAAGTGGCTAGCTTTCTCTCTTTGCAGACGTCCTGGAAGCCACTCCGTTCCACACCGCCCCAACAACAACAACAACAACAACAACACCCCACACTAAGCGCTCCTCCCCACTACTTCCTAGCAACCGGTTGCTAACCTCGCCTCTCTGAGCCCAGGTTAATTTTATTTAGTTAACGCAAACGCAACCCATCTTTACATAGTTAACAAATACAGCATGAACAAATGTAACACATCTTGGCCTGGTTAAACAAATATTTCACAAGAGACAGACTACTGGTGATAGTCATTGTAGATAGAATACCTGTTTCATACCAGGCAGACTCCATCTTTCCCTGTGAGCTAAGCCCCAAGAGGTAGCCGTCATTAGCCATATTCAACAACCTAGGTCCAAGTTCTTGTAACCGGTGACTGCCAGGGCACGGATTGGCACCACATCTCAGTGACTCCAAATCCTGGTCTCAGGCACAAGCGAGGGTTCAGCTTGGAGCACCCCCTGGGTGAGCAGCCACACACTACATCTGTCTGCCTTCTCTTGCAGCTGCGGAGCCCCAGAAGGCAGAGAACTGAAGTGCAGCCTCCAGCAGGAAGGTAGACGCTCTGCTCCCCGTCCCCCGCTGTCTCACCAGTCTTCACTGAGTTTGGGCGGGAGCATCATGCTAACCTCTTCACGGGGCTCTTCTTACCTGTTCACTCTTAAGTGTCTCTCAGAGGTGGAGGAGGAACGGTGGACAGCCCAGGCCCAGAGACGCCGAGGTGTCCCTCACCCAAACACAATCAGGGCCTCCAAACAGCCTCGGGGCCAGGCTCGTTTAGTACTGTCCCAGCTACCCCAGGGATGTGACTTGGGTGGGAATCACTTAGTGAAACTTCCTTTTCAAAGTGACATTGAGAACGGCTTCCAATAGTGAGCTGAAAACCACTTACACACACACACACACACACTCACACACACTCACATACATTATGAAACTTACTATTCAAAAGTAGGGAAAATAATATGCCCCCCCCCCATCTTCACTGTCCTCAACATTTGGGGCTCACTGTGTGTTCATTTCCATTACTCACTGTAGGGTGTGCCAGAGAGTACATGGTGATTGGATAAGTCTTGCAGTCAGCAGGCCATATAGGAACTTTCTGAAGCCTACCAGGAGAAACAGGACATGCCGGGCTGGCCCCATTTATAATGGAACAGTCTCTGCAGTCAGAGAAAGCCATTCAGACAGTGTCCTAGTCAGGGTTGCTACTGCTGTGGTGAAACACCATCCCCGAAAAGCAAGTTGGGGAGGAAAGGGTTATTTGGTGTAAGCTTCCACACTGAAAGAAGTCAGGACAGAAACTCAGGCTGGACAGGAATCTGGAGGCAGGAGCTGATGCAGAGGCCATGGAGGGGTGCTGCCTGCTGGCCTGCTCAACCTGCTTTCTTATAGAACCCAGGACCAGCAGCCCACATGTGTCTCCAACCACAGTGGGCTGGACCCTCCCCCATCAACCACCAATTAAGAAAATGCCCCACAGGCCTGCCTACAGCCACAGTCATGGAGGCATTTTCTCAGTTGAGATTCTCTCCTCTCAGATGAGGGTAGCTTGTGTCACGTTGACTCCAAACTAGCCAGCACAGACCGCATGTGACGAGCTGGGCCCCGAGTCCAGGTCTCTGTGGCTATAGGTTAGGCTCACCCACAGCACCCACTCACGTGCGGTCTGGATGGCAGCCCCTGGGATATACAAAGGCAAGAAGGCCAGTTTGTCCCCTCACTTCCGCCCCAGACTCCACACAATAAGGTGTAATGGACAAGTGCACACCTTTAGCTAAAGCTGTCAATTAAAGGCTTTCTCAAGCCGGGCATAGCAGAGCGTACCTGTAAACCCAGTCCATGGGAGATAGAGACTGGAAGGTCAGAAGTTCAAGGTCAAGCTTGACTAACAGTGAGTTTGAGGTTAGCCTGGGCTACATGGGCTCTGTCTTGAAAACAACAACAACAAACTAAACAAAACAAAAAACTATCTTGTGTCCTGGACCCCAGGCTTTTCCGTAATGACTGTACTAACATGAACCTGTGTAGTATTTTAATTCCTTACAGTTGCCTGAACCTCCACAGGTCAGCCCCAGACCAGACAGCAGAGCTTACTGCCTCCATCTTTGGGGTGGCTGTCTTAAAGACACATGACCATTTAAACAGGGGTCTGTCAAAAACTCCAGCCCAGGAAGAAGCCACACCCCCACACACCAGCCTCCGTCTGCCCTCCCTGCCTCTCAGGCTCGTCTGTTCTACAGGACCTCGAGGCTTCAAGGGCATGCCATCTGGGGCATTCGTGGGCAAAGTGACTATGCTGAAGGTGGAGAGAGGACCAGGTATGGGTACCAGAAAGGATCTGAGGTTTTTAATGTGAGTTCTCTGCCTCTGCAGCCTCCGGAAGCCAAGACCAGCTGCCTGACCCTTTAGAGGCTGGTGTCAAGGCTTGAGAAAACGGCTACTTCAGATCTTTCCCCAGGAGAAGCCAAGAACGTGTGTTCCCTGCGCCTCTCCCTGTCCCCACTAACCCCAGTCCTGTACTTAAAGATGCAACGCTCACAGCCCTTCCCTGTTGACTGGAGCCAGGGCTCTGGCCCCCTTCTGTGCTGTGTCTATGTGTGTCTGTGTGTCTGCTGACTGTGGTCTTGTGGCTACTCATCTGTGGATCTCATTGTTCCCGTGAACTGTGTGTGTGCTCCCTTTCCTGGGAGGGGCTGGGCCATGCTGCCATCCATGCCTTGTGCCCTCCTGTGGCCTCCATCCCCTCTTGCTCTCTGGAGTCTGCTCTGCCCCTGAGAAGCCCTAGTCCCATCTCTGGATTTAGGTTTGAGGAAACGTGGTACCCAGGGCAGGAGTCCCCAACTGCCTTGGGACTGAGAAGTGTGTATCATCTTTGTTGCCGTTCTTCATGGACTCAGAAGAAACTTGCTCCCGATTCCACCAGTTTTGAAGGTCTGTCAGCAGTGGGAGATGCTGAGGATTGCCTTCCCGCAGGCCTCCTGGGGTCCTTTCTCTTTTTAGGGTGGCCACTGCAGAGTCCCAGTCTGTCTTACCCTTTGCGGAACACCCAGGAATTCCAGGTCCAGGGCTTCCTCTTGCTTCTGGGGAATGTGCTCCTCACATACCTTCTGAGCAATAACCCCGTAGGTTCTGGAATCCTCCTGCCTTTGCCCACCTTCTCTGCTTCTGAGACTTTCCTTTCTAGCCTAATTCATGTGGCCTGAGGATTCCTTCCTTCTCTGAAGCGGGTCTCTGGCAGGGGATGGCCGAGGGGATGGGCGACAGAGAGCGTGGGGGTGGGTCTGCCTCTCTGCCTTGTGATGTGGGTCTGGCAGCCGCTGCAGCTTCCTTTCTCTGGCTGTCAGGGGTCCGAGTGGAGAGGGATGGAAGGGTGCGGGCGCAGCAGGGCTGCGGGTCAGAGATCAACAGGGTACGTACAGCCGGGGTGCGCAGCGAAGGCCAGACATCGAAGGTCATCAGAGTGAAAACTCAAACCAGACCCCGCCCCACCTGTCCATTGTGTTCCCTTGGAAACTAACCAAGCCACACTGTGTACCGGGACTGCTGATCTCTGTCTTGTGATCTGTCCTCTGACAACAGAAAAATACGTAAATAAAACCTTGTTTCCTAGTGGCTCCGAGTGGCTTTCCTTCCTCTGAGAGTCTGAGGGTTTGGGGAACCTTAAAAGACAAGAGAGCCTGTCCGCAGTCAGAGGAAGGAGGTCAAGACTGAAGGATGCTGGGGAGGTGCCAGGCAGTCTGGGCCTCTTTCACGAAGGGCTCATAAAGACCCGCTTTGGACCCCGTCTCCTCTGCTCCCTTTCTACGGGTCCCTGGTCTCAGGTTCTTCAAGTAGAAAGTAGCCACAGAAGCTTAGTGACATAGTGACAGGACTGTAGGAAGGAACTCTGAGCCTTCCAAAGACATTCCCATTGCGTTTGGTGATTTTTTTAAAGTACTGTCACCCAAACAAACACAGCTGCAGGCAGATTCCGTTTGAAGGTAGCAAGCTCCCCCCCTGAGCACCACCCAGTCTCCAGCCTTCTGTGTATCTTGGGTGAAGCACAACACTCCTGCAAGGTGAGGAATAAGCCGCATCCTAACCTGAGAACTTCCAGAACATCTTAGGATCTCCAGAGAACCTCTAATGTCCCTGTGAGGTTTCTGGGTTGCTTCCAGCCACAGGGCTGCACAACAGGGGTTTGGGGGAGCCGATGGAGCCGCCCTCTTGCTAACGATCACAAGACCTGCTTTGGGGCATTTCCCACACCCGCTCTTACCTCTGCCCTTGGTGTGTTTTGCCCCTGGGGATTCTGAAAAGCTGAAGTCTTTCCAGCAGGGATCAAGTTTAATATTGTCAAGCCGGTGATGGCAAGGCTTCAAATGTCTCTGGTCATGTGTGGACTTGGTAAGGAAGCAGATGAGCTCCATTCACGGCACATTGGGGCATCAGGGAGTTCATGGCCGTGCAGGTGACTGAGACCCTGAGAGGCCCCAGCACACAAAGGATTGTGGGTACTGTGCAGGGTTACTAAAACCAAAGCATTAAACTCCAAAGAAGTCCAGTGAGAGGCTCCGACCTCCCTTCATCGCACCAATGAGAGGGAGTAACTGTTGTTTTACTCTGTGTCTACAATGGTGACTGTAGCTTTGCAAGGTCTCTAAAAGCTCCCACTTAGTTTGCCTGGTTTTGTGTCAACTTGACACAAGCTAGAGTCATCAGAGAGGAAGGAGCCTCAGTGAGGAAATGCCTCCTTGAGATCCGGCTGTAAGGCATTTTCCTAATTAGTGATCAATGAGGAAGGGCCCAGCCTATGGTGGGTGGTGCCATCCCTGGGCTGGTGGTCCTGGGTTCTATAAGAAAGCAGGCCAAGCAAGCCTTGGGAAGCAAGCCAGTAAGCAGCATTCCTCCATGGCCTCTGCATCAGCTTCTGCTTTAGTTCCTGTTCTGACTTCCTCCAATGATGGACTATGATCTGGAAGCATAAGCCAAATAAACCCCTTTCTCCCAACTTGCTTTTTGGTCATAGTGTTTTGTCTAAGCAATAGAAACCTGGCAATGACGGCACATGCCTTTAATCCCAGCACTCGGGAGGCAGAGGCAGGTGGATCTCTGTAAGTTCAAGGCCAGCCTGGTCTATAAATCGAGTTTCAGAACAGCCAGGGCTACACAGAGAAACCCTGTCTCAAGGAACCAAAGAAATAAAAAGAAAAGAAAAAAGAACAAAAGAAAAGATACCCTAACTAAGATACCTACCAACCTGGCTTTATCCCGAGATAGCAGATAGTCTTGTTTGTAGATTCTCTCTGATTCCCTTCAAGGCTGGTCCAGGCCACAGCAGCTGCAGGGGAGCTGGGGGTGGACCCAGGCAGTGTGTCCAGGGCCAGGTGTGCACCACACAGCTGGCGTCTGGGGAAAGATGTGTCAGATAAAGGGAGGGGCAACCCATGGCTCCTGAAACCTTGTCTGTTCCATGTCCTTTCAGGATGTGACCTAGCTAGACCGTACCCCAGGCTGTGCCCTGAGGAGGCACCTATGGGAGGCCAGTGGTCTGGAAATCAGACCCACAGGAATGGAAAGCTTGACCCTCAGAATCGTATAGTAACATCTACCAAGCTCTTGCCAGATGCAGGGGTGGGGCTTCCCGTGAGTCCACCTCCCACACTCACATCAACAGTATAACTTCACCAGGGTGGGGCTGTGCAGGCCACCCAGCCTCTGATACCCAATGCTCCCACTGCTTGTGATTTGTTTTCTGTTTTTCCTTTAAGACAGGGACTCAAATAGCCCACACTGGCCTCAAACTCAAAAAAAACACAAGCAGCCAAGGATGACCTTAACTTTCTAGTCTTCTAGCCTCCCGCTCCTGACTTAGGGTTACAGATGTGCATGGCCACAGCTGGCTTTTAGTGGTACTGGTGTTTGAATTCAGGACTTTGTGCATGCCCTGTGAGCTCGTGGCTGACTGAGTTACATCTTCCGTCCCTGTGATTTTGTTTAATGTGGCCACTTTACTTGGGATGTGAATGCTACGGTGCCACTATTAAGGGTCAGTGAGTCCCTTGTTCTCAGTGACCTTGAGGGCCCCCCAAATTTGACCTCCCAGAACCTCCTCATCTCACATGAATTTGACCCCCAAAATGTTCAAGCCTCTTTGAAAGTTGCTGCTGCTCATTTTTAACGCCATTAATCTGCACCTGGGTCAACAAACGCTATGGCCCTCAGCCTCTTGGGTGTTTTGTCTATTTTTTTTTTTTCCTTGCAGGATGTAGGTTAGAACTGGCCAGACTATTCTTGGAAGAGGGGTAGAGGCAGAGAGCAAAAGTTAATGCTGGCAACAGAGATGGGAAGAGGGTGCCGGGCTGAAGCATACCCCAAGGTCAAGGGGTTCTGCCAGCTCCCCCCTGCCCTGCTTCTGGGAGGCAGGGCTCTGCCCTCCACAGGACTGGCTTATGAGGAGAACTCTCCAGCTCAGGCTGGTGCTCACCTTGTCCCTTGCTGCTCTGGGCTCCCTTCCCCTGAGGCCCAGGAAAAGCAAGAAAGGTCAGGTGTGTTTGCCCAAGCCAGGGGAGGAGCTTTGAAAATACTTGTCTTCAGGCCATAAAGAGGAGGGAACGGCCACCTCTTGCTATTAGTGAGTCATTGCCGTCACCCCTAAGCTCCCGGCTGGCAGAATCAACCAGTTCCAGGCAACCACCTGCTGGTTTTCCCGGAGCCAGCACCAGCTCCATGGCCTGGAGCAACAAGAGGTGCCCTGCCAAGGGGCAATGCTGGCATTGATGTCCTGAAGGACTCGGGATAGAGGGCAGGAGGAGCGGGCCTTCTGGAAGTGGTCCCTGCCTCAGAGCCTGGGCCCCTCTTCTCCCCAACTGCATAGGCCTCAGACCCTACCTCTCTGGTCACTTTCCTTCTTCTCTATGACGTCCTCAGGGTAGGGTAGGCCTCCTGCTGGCCGTGTGACTCAG